TATAAGATGGGTATAATTATACGTGGTAGTTTTTCATCAAATATCCATTAAGATTTTAACAATAAATTATTTTAAATTAACAACAATCCATCCAAGCCTTAACAAGTTAGAAAAATGGAGAAGATGTACTTGATTATATGTGTTAGTTTTTCATCAATAAGTATCCATTCGAATTTTAATAACAAATTATTCTAAATTAACAACATTCCATTTGGGATTTAACAAGTTATAAAGCAAATAAGATGGGCTTAATTATATAGGTGTTAGTCCTTCATCAACAAGTACACATTTAGGTTTTCATAACAATTCATTTAAAATTGATAACAATCTATTCATGTCTTTCTTTAACAAACATCCGTTTGGATTTTAACAGCAATCTATTAGTGATTAACAATAATATATTCAGACATTTAACAAGTAAAATGCATGAAATTTTAAAGCTCTCAATTTGTAATTATTCATGCTAGATTGATAAGTAATATTAGTAAAATAACAAGTGCAGTTCATGAATTAACAACACACGATTATGTTCTACTAACATGGAAGTGAATAGAAGCTTGAATTACTATTTTTTTTTTTTGCATCTATAATTAAAGGTCTTGGTGCTTTTTAGATGATCAAAGGATCATGGGATTAAACCCTCCCTTTGTTATCTAAATTAAATATTCCTTGAATAAAAATGCCTGCCACTGACGACCCTATCGTTTGCTATGGTTCAACAACCGACATCGAATGGTGAGGAGGTGGATTTTTTTTAACTTTTAGGGGCAATTTGGACCTTTGATCTCACAAATTATATCAGTCAAGGACCAAGGGATTGTATTGCAATAATTTTGAAATCAATGATCCTTGACTGATATTAATTTGGTATTGAGGTCCTTGTTTGCTTTTTTTTTTAAATTGATATTTTATAAATACACCCACATGTGAATATACCAAAATATATTAAAAATGTAATATTTTTATTTATTCTTCATATTTATTTTAAAACTAATATAATTATGTATTTAAAAGTATTGTTATCTTATAGTTTTTTCATTATAAAATTGTTTTAATGAAATTACTTATTTTAATTTAAAAAAAATAAAAAGCCAACAATATAGTACATGTTAATATTTTTCTATAAATTTTGGCCCCTCAATTTGCACCATGGTTTCGACCCCGAGTAACAACTAGTGCGACAAGCCAATTTACCACTTTTAATTTCGTACGTAATTGTTGGCAATCAAAGAAATGACAAAACCTGGCTCGGTTGATTTATCAAAGTTGTAGCCTTCTACTATGTTGATATTATTAAGGGACAATTAAATTAAAATTTTATACAAAAAAATTAATTATTATAAGGTTCAGTATAATTTTCTAGAATTGTTTCCACTAGCTTGAACGTTACTACGTCCTTGTCCAACATCCAACAATATTTTTAAAGACACTTATTTATTTAAAGTGATTATTTTTAATTAAACTAAGAAATATAAATTTTTTTATATTAATTATTTTATAATAAATTAGATAATGTCAATCAAGGTTAACTACTAGCTTACGACTCCCTCTCATTCAAAATACTTCTTTCATTTAAAAATATAAGACATTTTTAATTGAATCTCACCCTTAATAAAGTAATTATTTACTTTTTAACTAATCATATCTTTTCATATTTATCCTTCTTCAATGCCCTATAATAAATATAAATTCATTATTAATAGGGACACTTTTAAAAAAAACTAATGATTACACATCAAAAGATTAAATTTTTTTACATTTTTAAATATCTAACTCATCAAAAAATGCCTTAAATTTTTAAATAGAGAGTATGTTTTTTAAGGTATAATTGTATATAGATTAAGAAAGGCAATTAATACATGAGAATATTAGTTACATTGTTGAATTTACTCTCTAAAATTTAAAAACTATTTTTTAAAATTTGTCGAATTAAATAAAAATTTAAGAAACATTTTTTTGAATTTATAAATATAAAAATAAAACAAAAAAATCCTTTAAAAATACTTACTCTATATACTTTAAGAGGGAGGGAGTACTGTCAACTTCTCGTGCCATCCCTTGATCATACAATCAAAGAAAAATATTTATTAAGGAGTGTTTGAGAAAATTTATATCAATTAAAAATTATTTATTATTAAAATTTGAATAGATATTTATTGATTAATGTTAATTTTTTTATTAACAAGTATTCATGTAATTTTTAATAACAATTTAATATAAATTAATAACAGTCTATTTAAATTTTTTTCATTCAAATTTTAACAATAATTAATTTTTTATTAATATAAACTTTATTGAAAATCCTTCATCGCTATTATCCCTACAATCAATACTCTTTCTTGGGCAGGTATGCCAAATCATTTTCCTTTTATGGTTGTGGGCACCAGGAACACTTCGTTTTCAAATTTATTAACGTCTTAAAGTTGTTGAATTGAATAAAAATATGATAAAAATTTAAAAAAAACGTTGTGAATTTAAAAAAATAAAAATAGAACAAAAAATTCTTTTAAAAATACTTATATATTTTAAAATTAAATGACAATTAAGGACCCTTAAGGTCATTAATTTCAATTTAGGATTATAAAATATTGAAATTCCAATTAAAAACCATGGTCATTACTTAAAATTTTAAAAATATAAATTGTCTTAAATGCCCCTCATGAAAAAATTATTGAGGAAAGTTAGTAAATTCTCAAGTCACTTTTGTATATTTATAAGTGATTTTAAAACATTTTAAAAGTGAGTTTCTTTCATATTGAAAAATAACCCATTCTCAAGTGTGGTTCCTTATTTTTCAACTGACATTAACATTATTTCCATCCTACAATAGTGATTGTAGTAGTGTCATCTCTTTATTTTTTTAAGTGAAATTATATATAAATAAGCATGAAATTTGACAAGCCATTGGGTTCATATTTTTGAGTGAAGTTAGTAAATCCTTAAGTCACTTTTGTATATTTATAAGTGATATTGAAACATTTTAAAAGTGAATTTCTTTCATATTAAAAAATAATTTATTTCTAAGTATGGTTCTTTATTTTTTCAATTGACATTAATAATATTATCATGCCACGATAATAATTTCAACAATGTTATGTACATTTTAGTATTTAATAGAAAGTAATTTTATAAAATCATGTATATTTTTTATTTCAAAAATCATAATCTTTAATTAAAATTTTAATATTTTATAATTCTTAATTAAAATTAATGACTCTAGTCTTTAATTGTCATCCCCCCCCCCCCCCTTCTTTTTAATGGAGGGAGTACTGTCAACTTCTCGTGCCATCCCCTAATCGTACAATCAATGCTCTTCCTTGGGCAGGTAAATCATTAATTCTGCCAAATCATTTTCCTCTGTTATGGCCACCCGGAACCCCCCATTTTCAAATTTATGAATTATTAATGATAATGATGATTTAAAGAAACCAATTGTCGTGATCCTTTCTAATATTAATTCAAAACGTGCAACACTTTTCCCATCAGTCAATGACATTTTTTTTTCCCACAGATATCTTTATTAATTATATTGTAGAAAGAGTTTATATGAGAAGAAGAATACTCTCATTTTTCAATATTAAAAGACAATGTCATATTAAAATATATATATATATATATATATAAGATACTTTGGGTATTTCTACGTTAATTTGTAATTTTTTTAAAAAAATACCTTTAATTCTAACTGAGAGATTCTATTAAAAGTAGTGATAATTTTTTACCATTTTAATTATGCAAATAAATCACTTTTAATTATTTTTCTTAATTCTTATGTAATATTTTCTCCATCCCAATTTATAAGAAGCTTTTATACAAAAAGTATGTATACTAATAAAGCTCATTAAATATAATTTACAACCTTATTTTTCAAGACATAAATATAAACTTTTAAAAATAACCTTCATTTAATAATCAATTTGTGAAATAATATTAACTAAAAAGAAAGAGAATACAATGGAAAGGGCAATATTGAAAAAATATCGTTAATGAAACATTATTTTTATTAAAGTGTCTTATATTTTGGATAACGAATATATTTTAAAAGTGTTTTATAAATTGAGATGAAGGTAGTATTAGCTAAAAAGTCCTATATTTTGAATTATATAGAATAAATATTTAAACTTATTATAAAAAATATATTGAAAATATTTAGAATTATTAAGATTGGAATTTTAAAAAAAATATTTGGGACGAATTTAAAAGTTAGTTGTATGAATCAAATTTCAATACTTATAAATGTTTTTTTTTAACCTATGGATATTCTCATATTGAAGGCAAATTTGTTTGAACCATTGTCATGTATTAAATGTAAGTATCTCTTCAAAAAGAAAAAAAGTTAAGGCAAACGCAACCCCGTCAACGTTCGCACCAACAATTGGGTTGAATATATTTATGCGCCATTTATTTCATTTGTAGCTAAAACTATAATTAAACTGTCATATATATATAAATTATAATCTTAAAAAGTTAATCTACTAAAACTAGGACATATAATATAAATATAATATTTTTACTAATTGGTGATATTCAGGATAAAAAAAGAGATATATCAATACATTTGTGAACTCACAAAATCATAAAGATCATGGTATATGATTATTCTGCATTCATATATACCCGCATGTATAATGTTATTTCTTCGAAACGCCTTGTTGAGGATAACAGATAAGAATATATAATGTAAATATATATATTAGAAATGAAAAACTTCCATGCTAGGAACTTGTATTCTGAAGAAAGTTAGGAATAAAAACCATACACCTAATTAGATGTTGATCAGGAATTCATGGAAATTAAAGGAAAATTATAAAACTGATGATCTCAAAATTTTATACTCCTCCTAAATTCAGAATTCTTAGGCTTTATTTGGTTGAAGGAGAGGAGAGGAGAAGGATCTCCCAGTTTGAGTGGGAGGTTTTGGAGGGAAAAGGAGAGAAAATTTTAACTCCCCTCCAACCAAACAAGTCCTTAAGGATAAAAATGGTTGGGGAAGAATAAAGTTGAAATCTAGTCTTGTAAGTCATTACATGCCCAATGTGTAGGAGAAAATACATAAAGAGAAAAATAATGAAGCGGTGATCATGATCTACCACTTTTGTGCTTGTGTGCATCTACGTGTATATATAAAAAGTATCATGATTGAGAGGATCAAAGAAGTTACAGTAACATTGTTCATCATCATCTATGTGAACTTGACTGGGCATTTAAGCGACAAGTTGGCATTGCTAGCAAGTGCTTAGCTTTAGGTATTGTGAGCCCAAATTTCTCATTCATATCCAACTCTTCTGGGCTAATGCCATAAGGAAGCTCCCAATCAAAGCAATGAACCAACTGAGCCACCACAAATCTGATTATGCTCAGACCCATTCTCATTCCAGGACATCGTCTCCGACCTGAACCAAATGGTATGAGTTGGAAGTGATGTCCTCTCACATCCACATCGCTATTTACGAATCTCTCCGGATAAAATGTATTTGCATTGTCGGACCACAGTTTAGGATCTCGACCTAGGCCCCATGTATTGACCAGCACCATTGTCTTTTTTTCTATGTAATAACCATCAATTATGATGTCTTCCCTGGCCTCTCGAGGAATCAGAGATCCAGCAGGATGAAGTCTTAAGGTCTCCTTCACTGTCAAATCCAAGTAACTTAGCTTCAATAAATCTGCCTCCTCAACCATCCTCTCCATCCCCACAACATTTTGAATCTCATCTTGGAGCTTCTTCATCACCCTCGGATTCTTCATGAGTTCTGCTAAAGCCCACTCAGCCACAACAGCCGTGGCTTCCAGTGCTGCAGCAAACATGTCTATTATTATAGCCTTCACCGTGGTTCGATCAACAACAACTTCTTGTTCATCATCATGCAAACCCATGGGCTGGTTCATCAGAGAGAGCAATATGTCTATGAAGCTCTTGCAGTTCTCTTTGTCTACATTTTGGGCTTGCTCTCGTTCCTTTATTATCTTCTCCAGCAATTCATCAGTGGCTTCCCTACATTTCTTTAAGCGCCTTTTTAACCCCTGCCAAAGTAACTTGAAATTAGAATTAGGATATCTCTTGCATATTCAAAATGGAGTGGATATATAGCTTGAGTACTAAATGTAAGAATAGAAAGAAATCACACATTACTCAAAATTTAAGTTTATAAAACTTTCTCTTTTATTATATATTAGTTATTAAGTGTAATTTGATCTAATGTGAGACTCAACTATGTTATATTTAGACAAAATAAAAATGATTTATAAATAGAATTAAAGATTATTATTATTTTTTAAATAGGACAGGAGAGAATACAAAAGAAATATTGTGCAAAGAATTAATTATTATTTTCAAGCTAAACTTAGCTTGTGCAGTTGTTGGCTAATTAAAACTAAATGTAGCTAATAATTCAAGAATGAAACATCAATTGCTTCATTGTATTATATACTCTATGTAAATTGAAACGCCTGTTAATTTTATATTAATTAATATGTAATATATAAATAAACGAACCTGAAGATCAAAAGGTTGTAGCCAAGGCAAATAATCTGCTAGATTAAAAGCTCAGGCAAGGCTCATTCCCTCTTGAACGAGCTCCTTGTAACTGAGGGCATTGTCCTTATTAGTATCAGCACCAAATGTCATCTTAAACACTATATCCTCCGTAAGGTTATGCAAAACTTCGCTAAGGTCCACAATCTCTCTTGACGCTGAGGCTCCCTCTAGAGACTTCACCACTAAAACCAGCTCTTCCCTCCTCAAAGGGGCAAACATCTCCACTTTTGGCACACTTAGAAGCTGTACAGTGCACAACTTCTTTACATGACGCCAGTATGGGCCATACTCGGCAAACGCAGTGCCTTTGAAGCCATAAGAGAGGAAATCATAGGCTTGGGTTTTAGGACGAGTGGCGAAAACGATGTCGTTTGTCTTGAAGATGAGTTCAGCAGCTTGAGATGAAGAGATCACGATGGCTGGGACTTGTCCCAATTTCAGGGACATGATGGGGCCATACGTTCTGGCCAGGAATTGAAGGTTGCGATGAGGGAGGTCACCCAGAAGGTGGAGGTTTCCGATGAGTGGCAACGGGCAAGGACCCGGCGGTTTGTGGCCAAGTTTCTTTTGGTTTGGACGGAAGAAGACTCCATATAGAATGTAGAGAAAAGTGAAAAGGAAAGCAATAGGAATTGCTGCGTTTGAGAAAGACATTGGACCCAAAACAGCTCGATCGAACCAATGAACTATGGCTTGCTATCAAATGTCTAGGTTCACATGATATATATAGCCCCACACACACACAGATTAACTAGCTTCGTACTGAAAATATATAAAATTTCACATGATAATATAACAACAAAAGCCTATCTATAAAGTGCATCCTAATTAATCAACACCTGGTGATCTGGGTGCACGCAAGTCGATCACTTGTCCTTCTCCTATTTTCCTTTTGTTATCAATTTTCATTCAAAAAACAATGAAGGAAGAGTAACGCCTTCAATTTGCAAAGTGACACTACTATCAAATAACATTAAAATTAATAAAAAATAAATTTTATAATATTACATAACATAGATCGTCTGTCTAAAAATTAATGAATTAAATATTTAAATTAAAATTATAAAAAGCTAAATAGTGGAAGAATTTTTTATGATTAAATTAATTTTAAAAAATTAATTAAAATTAAATATATAAAGTGAGTTCAAATAAAAAAATTATCAAACACAACCATCACAATCAATCACAACTCAATTATCTAAACTTAATCTTCATCATCCACAAAATAAATTAATTTTATTTAACTTTATTATTTTAATTTTAATATATATTTTTTAAATTATCTTTCAAAAATTAAACAAGACATTAAGTTATAAATTAAGTAAAATCTCACTTAACCTATAATTTAATAACTATTCTAAGTTAGTCACACCAAAAATAATGCATGAGTAATAATTTAAGCCAGACTAAATTACTCTTATATTACTATATTAATGGATTATAGTGAGTAAAATCTCAAGTAAAAATTATAACCCAAAATTCATGCTGTAAAATTATTCTAATTAACAATAACAATTTAAACATAAAATTTAGAGGTAGAGAGAAAAAAAGTAAATTAAAATAAAATCTTTGTTGAATATCAAAAACTTTGATTACAGCTTAAGTCATGATTTGTGATTGACAGACGAAACAAATTAATTCTCCATAAAATTAAAAATCAAACAACATAATATAAAATTAGTTCTCCACCCTTTTTCAATTAAAAATCCGAAGTGTCAAGCCAATTGTAGCGCATCGAACGAGAAGACGTTGAGGACGATGAAGGCCTCTTCGAAGCCGTTGACAATGTAAATCAAGAACAATATATTAATTCTGACCATTTTTCTAATATTTCATTGATTCATTCGGTGAAGTGCTTTTTCTATATCTGTCCTCTGAATTGACACACTGTGCGTCACTTTGATTTCATGCCAATGCTTCATTGTTAAGTCACCCTGAACAATATAATGATCTTTGCTAATATTTTTTGTTTTCTTTAATTCTTTCTTTCTCTCCTCACTCCTCCTCCTCCTCCTTTTTTTTTTTTTGGTTTCCATGGAAGCTATCTCGATGGTCTAAATAACCTTCTTCCTGCTTCTTCCACGTCACTACAACAAAATAACAACATATTTTTTTTCAAAATTATTATGAGAAAATACATAAAAAAATTGTGAGTTAAAATTTACAAGAACTTTTATTTTCTCTCGAAATGTTTCGAGAGAAACAATTTCTCTCAAAAAAATCCAAATAAAATATTCTCTTAAGTTTTTTGAGAGAAACAACTTCTCTCAGAATAATTTGAGAGAAATATCCTCTCAAGAGTTGCCATGTATACATACGTCACATGATGCTTATATTTATTTTACAAATTTATGTCTTATCTTAGAGTAGAAGACATGATCTTGGCTCCATTTTTAGTGTCTACCTTTTTGCTAGTTGAGCTACAATGAATTTGATATCTTAAATTAACAAAATTAAATATATATTACTAAACTATACACTTTTACAAAGTTTATATTATTTTATTGAAAAAATTAATTACTTAATCCTTATAATTTTGACCCGATTTTAAGTAAGTTCCTAAACTTTGAGTTTTTGTAATCAATCTCTTAAGTTTAACTCATGCAGCTCAGTTCTCATAGTTTTAATCACTTGAATATTGGTTCCTACATTTTAAAAAAATAAAATTATAAAAATTAAAAATACTGTAAATTCATGATATATGTAGAAGGATAGAGGGAGCTTATAATGAAAATGAAAAACATAGATGTGGTTGATAATGAATCAATTTCAATAAACACTCAGATTATGAGGGCATTAAAAATATCAAATAAGAAGAATAGGGACTTTGTTCTGTTTAGTGACAACAATAATAACGATATAAAGCATGGTTCTTCGACTGAATTGGTAGAAGGTCTGTTGAGAATATAAGTAACAATATATAAAGCGCTTTGTTATATCATGATTGCTTTATATTTATATGTTATTGCAACAAGCTGTTATAGCTTTTCAAAATGCTATTACCACTTGAATTATGTAGCGATCGAGACCAACACAAGGAAAGAACATCAACTACATGAGGACCATGGAATTCTGTGAACCCACTGCAAGAGAAAGCGTGGCTCCCAAAAAATGTGGAAAATAAAAGCATGACTAAATGCATTTTATGCCTTATATATATATATAAGTCTTTTAAGGTTTAAGCATATAATTAAGAAATGCAATTAATATTTTATAACATTGACTATATTTTGTCAAACTTACCCCTTCACGTGTTGAATAAATTAAAATTATTTGATTAAATAAGAATATACTATAGATAATCTTAATAAATTTCACTTTGGTCACATGTAAATGAAATAAAAAATTTCTAAAAAGTAGACTTATATTTTGAAATTAATAGATCAGTATCATTCAGGGATTTTTCTCATAAAAATATATCGCAGTATTTATAGTACATCTGGATTAGAAAAGATAATTAGAGACATTTGGGTCTAGCTAGTGGCACAAAACCCTCCTTCTTGGCAAGAAGGTCCTAATTAAGTTCAAACATAAAACTTGCGTGTCTAGATGTGTATTGTTCGGTATGTGTGTGTGTGTGTGTGTGTTTAGTTTACTATATTAGGAAAAAGGCTGACATTTATTAAAGGAGAAGGAATATATAACTGGATAAGGAAAGAATCAATGAATCGTGCTTCACGTAAAAAGAAAAACTAGAAGTAAGATGTTTACTATCCATATAATATGTAATTAGGGGAAGATTTTGTTAAGCCCTTGACCTAACTTATTTACAATCAACCGCCTGAAATTTTGAAAGATCAATTCAGTTCCTGTGGGCTCCATTTGGGCGAAATTAAAATTAAGTTTTTAAAGGAAGTGACACAAATAATACCAATTTCTTACATTAGTTGTTTATTTTCCACAAAGGACTCGTTCATTTTCCTACTCGAGTTGATATATCTAATTTCACTTGTTTATATTAAGAGCGGTGTTATAATATTAATGAAAGTTATAAATTTTAACTATATTTGTTGTTTATTTTTCATATATCAATTATTCATTTTTTTTATTAAATTGTTCATACACCTAATTTCACTTTTTTTTATTCATATATGGTAATGTCACGCTGTTAGTAAAAATTACAAATTTCACATATACTAGCTTCACTCGTTTTTATTTATAATACTATTATGCTGTTATTAAAAGTTAAAATTTTTTCCCTATATATCATTGTTTATTTTTTCTATGTTAGTTGTTTTTATTTGAGGGGTTTGAAATTATTTGTGTCATGTCTCTCAAAAACTTAATTTTAATTTAGCCCAATTGTATGGGACTCATAGAAATTGAACTAATGTTTCATAATTTTAGGAGTTTAATTTGATTGTAAATAAGTTTGGTTAAGGGGTTTAACCAATGTGCATAGCGAAAGAGGCTAACTCTTTATAATATGATAAATTAATATTTAAATTTTTTTTAAAAGATCATGTGTCTACATTCATTGTATGATGGTATGCTTCAAATAAAATAACCTCTAATTGAAATAAACGTGTAAGTTCCTGTAAGCAATAAAAACAATATGCCAGGGTTAGGTTTATTAATTGTTAGACCGGACAACGGATGGCATTGATTGTGGAATAGACGTGACACTAATAAATCGGAGGCTGATAGATATACATATTGCGGCAAAAGAAATCATTTTAATCATGAACTGTGATTAAAATCTGTGGGGACGAGGACAACACAATCCGGTCACCATTGTGATACTGCTGATTAACTACATATGACCTTTTCTTATTAAGTAGGAATGTATAAATTATGTATTTTTAACAGAACAATAACATGTAAAGAACCCTACACACATGCATATGATTTGAAAGATTATATGGATTTAGATTTATTGAATAGCATAAATTTATTTATTTAATAATTATCTTATGACAAGATAACGTGAAATTGTTTAATTTAATTCAATGATTATAAAAGATTTTGTTATGCGATATCTAAAATATTAAATTTTAATTTTTTAGAGTGAATAGTTTACATGAATTAGTTTGAATTTTTTAAATAAATAAATAAATATATATATATATATATAATTTTTAAATATTAATAAAATTTAATTATTATAATTAAAATATATTCATCGAATAAATAAATTACATATAAGTCACTCACCGAAGTTATATACCAACTCAACTACACATGTCGGCAGGGCGAAGGGAGACGTACAATATTAATTTAGCGCGGCGGCTGCTCTGCCTAATCCAATTTCACTTTGATTTCGGTGTTTGGAATGTTGTTTTTGTTATTTCTTGACACTGTATATTGACACCTTTGACAAGGCAAGTTTATTAGTAGTATTGTTTGTTGCAAATTTTGTAGATGTCACACACACACACTCTCTCTCTCTCCCCCTCTCTCTCTCAAACTTTGACCAACTCCAAAGTATGTGCGTGTGAGTTCTTTTTTTTTTCCCCTAAATAAAGCGACAAAAGTTGGACAGCAAATTAAATGTTTCAGTGCAATAGGTATAGCAACTGGCAAGTCAGAAGCCTCTGTCGTTGGCCAAAAAAGGTAAATAAATTAAAGCCTCAACCCTCAATTATGAGCAGAACAATCTTCTTTTTTTATGAAAAATATAATATTCGAGTGATAACTGTGTATAACAGTTATTGAGTTTAATA